AATCAAAAACATTTTTTTTTAATTAAGCAATATTGTTTCTTGAATTTTTTTTATAAATGTTGGAAAAAAATAAAAATTCAGAAAAATCATAAAAGGATCTTGTAAAACATTTTTATTCCAATTTTTGACATTCCCCTTATTTTCCGTGTGTGGTCATTGGTTGCTGAGATATCGATGACCAAAGACAAAAGGATCTTTTTTCATTTAAAGTCAGATATCTCAGCGACAAATTGATGGAAAAAGAATGTGAAAAAAAACTTTTTAAAGATGAATGAACCGGCTATCCGGCCTATGCATTGACTTAACAAAAAAAAATTCCCTACGTCTGTGGACCAAATTTTGAAATTTTTTTCTCGTGCTATTATTTAAGATTACGTGATAACCGAAGGCCAAAAAAAATTGCCAAAAGATCTCAAAACTACAAATTTAAGGCTTCTAAATGTTTTTTTTAATCCAGATGCGACCATTTTTTGATGAGTTGCAGCCTTTCAAAAATCACCAAAAATTGAGTAAAATTTGTTGTTTTTTTTGTTCCTTAAGAAAAAAAATTAAACGAAAATTTGTGTAATTTTTGGATTCTAACGATTTTAAGCGGATTTTTTTACCAAAAAACACATGTTTTTGCAAGATTTTGCCAATCTCTCCCAAAAATCACTAAATTAACATTGTTTCTAGTACGTTTTCCAGTCAGAAGTGAAAGCATTATTTCGCGAAATTTCATTAAAAATAGACCAAAAGCAACAGTATCTTGTTTTCGAGCTTTTAACCACGTTTTTCAGTCGAAAATAAAGTTATTTCCCAAAATTTTTACATTAAATCAAAATGGTTATTTTTACAATTTTTGAGTTTTTGGGCACATTTTTGGACTAAAAATTACAAAAATTTGATGAAAAATAATATCGTTTTTTTTTTCGTAAGTTTTAAGAAACAGAAATACAATTGTTACGCAAAATTACTGAAAAGTGTGTCTTAAAATTTTCAAATTATACGGATAATAGTGTTATTTTTTATTTTTTTAAGTGTTTAAGTGCATTTTGAAAAAAAACACTTAATTTTTTTTGAGATGACCTGTTCGAAAATGGCAAGGAAGAAAAAATATTAATGAAAATAATAATGAAAAAATGTAATTTTTGTCTTTCTAACGATTTTAAGCGCATTTTTGACCAAAAAACTCATGTTTTTGCAAGATTTTGCCAAACCTCTCTCAAAAATCACTAAATTAACATTGTTTTCAGCACGTTTTCCAGTTAGAAGTGGAATTATTCCGCGAAATTTCATCAAAAATAGATCAAAAAGTCAACCAATTAGGTCCAAAGTAGTATTTTTTTGCCCTTTTTGAGCGTTTCAAGACGTTTTTCAGTCAAAAACACATTTTTTTGCAAAATTTTGTTAAAAATAAGGTTCAAAATTACCAAATGGGGAAGAAGACTTTGTTTTTAATTTTTCTTTTAATGTTTAAGCACGTTTTTAAAGGTAAATCGCGAATATGATAATGTGTTTGCATTTTTGAGCGCTTTCAAACGTTTTTCAGGCATTGATGGGTTTATGTTGCAAAATTTTGTTATAAGTATAGAACGAAAAAAACACTAAATCTGTGTAAGTATTGAGCTGAAAACTCAAGTTTAGCTAAAACACAATTATTTTTCGAAATTTCGTGAAAAGTATGCCTATTTTTTTATATCTTAAAGTCAGACACTAGTTAAATTTTTATGTAAAACTTAAAAAAAACCTGCAAACTTGGGAAAGTGATTAAAGCCCGACAAACAGCAGAGGGCCTTAAATGCTCAATTGTAAAATTATTAGGTTATTTGGAGTGCCAACGAGCTGAATTTTTATGTAAATCTTTATAAAACGTACAAAATTGCGATAGTTTATAAAGCCTGACGCGCGGTGGAGGGCCTTAAATTAAGTCATTTGGACGAGCCAAATTTTTATGTAAAACTTCAAAAAACCGGTATTTAAAGCCCGACACGCAGCGGAGGGCCTTTAATCCTCACTTAGTTATTTTCCCAGATAATCCACGTGCAATCAGGCGACAACCTCCCCTGCTTGAACAAATCCTGCGTCCAAATCGCCAGTAACATCCTCTCAGCTATGGACCTCTCCGTCGACCCTTGCAAGGACTTCTACTCCTACTCGTGCAACGGTTGGGTCAAAGCCAACCCAATCCCCGACGGTAAAAGCACCTGGGGCACTTTTATGAAACTCGAACAACAAAACCAACTCGTCATCAAGCACGTCCTAGAGCAACCAATCGAAAACCTCAAATCGAAAGCGGAGGAAAAGGCCAAAATGTACTACGAGTCCTGTTTGGACGTCAATGACACTGTTGAGGACTTGGGGGCGGATCCCATGCACACTGTTATTAGAAAACTAGGCGGATGGAGTATCACCGACAGCGGTTTTAACCCAAAAAACTGGACGTTGCAGAATTTAGTTCAAATGGTGCAAAATAAGTATAATATCGGGGCGCTGTTTTCGTATGTCGTGGGGGAGGATGATAAGAATTCCTCGAGGTATATATTGCAGATTGATCAGAGTGGGCTGACGTTACCTACGAGGGATTATTATTTGAATGAAACTGAACATTCTAAGGTTTTAGAAGCCTACCTTGATTATATGACCAAAGTTGGGGTTTTACTAGGAGGGGAAGAGAACTCCACCAAAGAACAAATGCAAGCTGTGATAGAATTTGAAACTAGGTTAGCCAACATTACGACACCGAGTGAACTAAGGAGGGATGAAGAGTCGCTCTATAATTTGATGACCCTCACTGAGCTGAGGCAAAGAGCCAAATTTGTAAGTTTTGCCTTTTTTACATCAAAAAAATTAACAAAAAAATCCCTTCTGTATAAGTGAATGAAGTTGAGAAATTGACGAGAATACAAAATAAACATGATTTTTTTTCGAACGTTTGGAGATATTTAAAAAAAAAAGAAAAAAAAATAGAATGAAAGAAAATCATTAAATTGGACTAAAAGAAACTGTATTTTGTTTTCGAGCTTTTAACCACGTTTTTCGGTCGAAAATAAAGTTACTTCCCAAAATTTCGGTCAAAAGTTTTTACATTAAATTAAAATGGTTATTTTTACAATTTTTTGGGCACATTTTTGGACTAAAAATTACAAAAATGTGATGAAGAATAATATCATTTTTGTCTTTTTTTCTAAGTTTTAAGAAACAGAAATACAATTGCTGCGCAAAATTTCGTGAAAAGTATTATAAGGAAAATGATGTTATTTTTGCCTTTTTTTAAGTGTTTAAGCGCATTTTGAAAAAAAACACTTTTTTGGAAATGATTTTAAAATTTAACGAAAATTTGTGTAATTTTTATCTTTCTAATGATTTAAAGCGCATTGACCAAAAAACTCATGCAAGATTTTGCCAAATCTCTCCCAAAAATCACTAAATTAATATTGTTTTTAGCACGTTTTTCGGTCAGAAGTGGAATTATTCCGCGAAATTTCATCAAAAATAGATCAAAAAGTCAACCAATTAGGTCAAAAATTCAGTTATTTTGCCCTTTTTGAGCGTTTCAAGACGATTTTCAGTCAAAAACACATTTTTTGCAAAATTTTGGCAAAAATAAGGTTCAAAATTAACAAACGGGGAAGAATGTTATTGCATTTTTGAACGTTTTCAAACGTTTTTCAGGCATTGATGCGTATATATTGCGAAATTTTGTTAAGTAACAAAAAAACAAAGAAAAAACACTAAATCGTTGTAAGTTTTGAGCTGAAAACAAAGTTTATTTGCAAAATTTGGGTAAATTGGATTGAAAAATCGTCAAATTGGACCAAAAGTGACTTTAATTTGCTTTTTTCGACAGTTTAACTACGTTTTTTGGTGAAAATAGAATTATTTCGTAAAATTTCCTATAAAAAAATTACCAAAATCAGTCGAAAATAGTGTTTTTCTTAGTATTTAGGCACGTTTTAGGACTAAAAAGAGAGTTTTCTTGATAAATTTTGCCGAAAAACATAAAATTTGATGAAAAGTAACATTATTTTTCTCTCTTTTTGCAAGTTTTAAGTCAGAAACACAATTATTTTTCAAAATTTCGGGAGATGGTACCGAAAAGGTGTTACTTTTTACTTCGAGCGTTTAAGCATGTTTTGAAGAAAAAAAAACAATTTTTTCCCTGAAAATACCAAATCTGTTCGAAAATGACAAAAAAATCTTACGTTTTCAATCATTTGCAAGTGGAAAAAAATAAAAAGAAAATTTATGTAATTTTTGCCTTTTTATTGTGCAAGTGCAATTATTTCACAAAATTAAAAAAAAGTGACACATTTTAAATACGACTTTCCAGAATTAATCAAGACATTGCCCACCCATAGACAGTTTTAATATATCTAACAAGTGTAATTTCTCTTGTTTTGCATCATCATTTGTTTTCGAGATACCCAACAAACTTGATTTTTGTTTAATATCAAAAAGGAGCAAATTGTAATTTTTTTCAGTTGGACTGGCGGGCTTTCTTCGAAAACGCCATGAAAATCGTAAATCGCAAAGTGTCTCCAAAGGAAAAAATAGTAGTTTATGCTCCCGAATATTTAGGAAACTTATCAAGTCTAATCGACGAATATCAAAGTACGCCCGAGGGCAATATGTAAGTATTTTTCTTGTTTTGAAAATTGCTCTAATCACAATTTTTAGCACTTTAAATAATTATCTTGTTTGGCAAACGGTGCGAGTGTTCACTGGGTGCCTCTCGAAGGCGTTCCGTGACGCCTACAAGGGCTTGAGGAAGGCTTTGATGGGCTCGGAGGGCGGCGAGGAGCCCCAATGGAGGTACTGCGTCCAAGACACAAACAATGTGTTGGGCTTCGCAATCGGTGCAATTTTCGTCCGTGAAGTTTTCAATCTGGAATCCAAGACCCAAGCCGAAGAAATGATCAATAATGTGCGAAACGCCTTCAAAGGGAATTTTGCTAAACTCAAGTGGATGGATGAGGATACAAGGAAGGCGGCTGTGATCAAAGCCGATGCGATTTCGGACATGATCGGTTATCCCCAATTCATTCGTGACTCCAAGCAACTTGATGATCGCTACGAAGAACTCGACGTACACAGCGACACCTACTTTGTAAACAACCTAAATATCAATTTTTTCAATTTGCGCAAAAATTTGGAAAAAATCAAGGAGCCTGTGAATAAAACAACATGGAGTATGGCGCCTTCTACAGTCAACGCCTACTACACTCCGACCAAAAACCAGATGGTTTTCCCGGCTGGTATCCTCCAGAACCCCTTCTACGACCCCAGTTTCCCCCCGAGTCTCAATTACGGGGGCATGGGGGTCGTCATGGGGCACGAACTCACCCATGGATTCGACGACCAAGGCCGCGAGTTCGACAAAGACGGCAATTTGAACCATTGGTGGAAAAAAAAGACCATCGACTTGTTCAAAGCACGCACCAAATGCGTCGTGGACCAATACAATAAATACACAATTAATGGGAAGAATGTCAATGGGAATCAGACTCTAGGGGAGAATATCGCCGATAATGGGGGTTTGAAAGCTGCATATCACGCGTATTTGGCACTGATGAAGGATAAACCAGAGCCCAAAACGCTTCCAGGGCTTCCTTTGAACCACAAACAGCTGTTTTTTGTCGCTTTCGCACAAGTTTGGTGCTCCGCGGTAACCAAGGAAGCTATGGCGTTGCAAATTGAGAAGGATTCGCATTCACCGGCGAGGTTTAGGGTTATTGGGGCTTTGAGTAATTTGAAGGAGTTTGGGGAGGTGTTTCAATGTCCGGCAGGATCGCCTATGAATCCCAAAAATAAGTGCGAAGTGTGGTAGAGTGATGATTGTACCTGATTTTTTTCCAAGGGTGTGTTTGAGGGGGTTGAATGCTCCAGTGGAAATTGTGATTTTTTTTGCTTAAATAAACGGTTACCAAAGTTGCTTTCGTAGGTTACGTTTGTTTTCTTTCATTTCAATTTCCCGCGCAATCAATATTAAAATCAAATTAGAAAAGAAAATACATGAACAAACTTTTAAGTGAAAAAATTAAATGAATTTTAAAAATTAAGCAAAAAAAATTAGTGAAACAAAAAATGGAGCAACAAATTCCAAGCGGAGAAATAAATGGCGCAAAAAATTTCTAGAGGAGCAAAAATAACTTGAAAAGTTCCAATGGGAGCAAAAAAATAGCGCAAAAACAAACAAACCAATAATACCAAAATCATTTTATTGTTGTTGAAAAATTAAAATACATGGTGCGCCAGAACTCGCGCCCCAGAGAAAAATTTCAAGTAAGGTAAGATATCAGGAACATGAAAAAAATGTTTAAAAAATTCTATCTGTCAAAAAAATTTGACATTTATTTTTTGACATTTGACATTTTTTATGTCTATTTAATGATACTGATGATCTTGTATATGTTTTTTGACAATTATTTAGTAAAGGGACAAAAATTTTGACAATAAAACCCACAAATGACATTGGACAGAGTTACAATTTAGGATACAGCTTCCTTGTTTCCTCTTTTAATAGCGTATAGCAAAAAAACTTGGAAAATTATTTTTCCATCAGAAATAGAGTCAAAGTGTAAACTTTAAACTCTCATAACTTCGTAATTTTTATAGATAATTTTTTTTTAACATTTTTTCCATGTTCCTGGTATTTTACCTTATATGGCATTTTTCTCTGGGGCGCGAGTTCGGGCGCACCTGTAGATTTCAAAACAAAAAAATGGCGCAAAAATATCCTGATGTAGCAAAAAATTGCGCTAAAAATTCAGAGGGGAGCAAAAAATTGTGCAAAAAGTGAGCAAACCAAAGTTTTAAAATAATTTTATTGTTGAAAAATTGAAATAAATTTCAAAACAAAAAATGGCGTAGAGATTCCTGACAGCAAAAATTGGCCCAAACAATTCTAAGGGTAGCAAAAAATAGCGCAAAAATGAGCAAACCAATAATACCAAAACCATTTTATTATGAAATAAACTTCATAACAAAAAATGGCGCAAAAATTCAGAGTGACAAAAATTCTAAAACAAAAATAGGCGCAAAAAAATTCGAGGTGAGCAAAAATAAAAAATCAAAAAAATATTAAAATAAGTTTATTGTTACTCAAATATTGAAATAAATTTAATAACCAAATATCGGACAAAAAATCATTCATAGGAACCAAAAAATGGAGCAAAAAACCCCCCAAACCACCTGTATTTGTAGCTCAAGTTTCAGTTTTCCATATCAACCTATTTACATGGACGTGTATGGTTCTTGTCCTTGTTTGTGTAAATTAAATTTGTGTACCTATATTTTTACTGTGATAACAAGAATAAACGTAAATATTTAGACAATTGTTGGATTTTATTCAAGTGGCGGCGAACATTCTGCTGATGAGAGAATTTGTCAACACACCTGAATCTTTGCTCACCTAGTATAATACACAGGAAAAACAAAGTTCAAGCGTGTCGACGATAGGCATCCCTCGGAGTGGAGGAGTATAACTGGTTGCATAGGCGATGACTGTAGCTTGCCTACCTAAAAGAATTTTTTTATGATTTTAGAAAAATTTACATTGAAAAAAGCGATTCATTTAAACGTTTGACTGTATATTTGGCAAGAATATACAATTATTTCAGAGGATCGATAAACCTATTTTCGGTTTCTATTCCGGGAATTGTGTACAGTATGAAAAATAGTTTTACGATCACTTGTACAGGAGGCATGCCAAAAGAATTCCGACCGGATATTAAAGCATGTCAATAGCTTTGAAACTTCCCCAAAATAAAAAAAAAATAAAAAAAACCTTCAATTTACACAGTTTAAACACAACCGCAACCCGATTTGAATGATTTAGATTTTTTTTAATCATTGTTAACAGTCCGTTTCCGCAAAATGAACAATCGAAAAAGCGTGGATATTAAAAGTCATCTCTTTCGATTAGTGTTATTTGTTTTTCGCATGTTCAAACAGAATCGTAATGTTAACGCAAGTTTCACGCTCAACTTGCGACGAAAAACCATTTTGCATTTGAAAATAGAAGAGAGAAATGCATCAATAACTACGACACTGTAATTAGCGGCGAAAATAACAAAATGAATTTCTTGTTACGCTTTAAACACTTTTCAACACTTTGGCAAGTCGACGACTTGTGACGGATGTTCACACCGTTTGTTTCATTCTATAAAATTCTTCAACAAAATGATTTATTTCTCAATCGTTTAACCTTCTCTCACAAATCAAAAATAATGAGAAAAATTTATAATTCAATTGCGGTGTCTCGTAATTTGCATAGAAATGGTTAACTGGCTTCTGCTAATTGATCAATTTTTTTAACGTGTAGTTATGTAATTTTATTGTAGTAATAAATTCGCCAGACAGCTATTATGTGAAAAAAAAATGTGAAAAACGGATACTTTGTGTAATATATACAGTAGGTGCTATCAATGTGATGTATCAGCAGAGATAGCACTCATTTTCAAGTTCAGGCCCCGGTCAGGGTCAAACAGTAGCTAAAAAACAGACAGAAATGACAACAATAGACTGTATTGTAACAATCTTCAAAATTTTCACATTTTCAACTAATACAGTTGAACAAAGAAACACTAATATCTAATTCCATCAAATAAATAAAGGGAGAATATACGGGGTGCGCCAGAACTCGTGCCCCAAAGAAAAATGCCATATAAAGTAAGAGACCAGAAACATGGAAAAAATGTTAAAACATATACAAGATCATCAATGTTCCTGGTATCTTATCTTACTTGAAATTTTTCTCTGGGAGAGCGAGTTCTGGCGCAGCCTATATAACTGACTTGTCCCTTAAATAAGTAGAATTCATTATTTTATTCACAATCATCAATCAATCATCAATGTAATATGTCGATTACTAACCTTTTCAAGGTTGGGAAACACGTCATTATATCTCATGAGAAGTAATAACATTACTTCTTTTGGGTGGTAATATGCAGGATTGCCAACGTTAGGATTACGAAAATACCGTGAATTTTTTGTTTCAAATTGTCAAGTTACGCATCATATTTTGCTAAATTAGTATTCAATTGCTTCTCTAGCAGTTTTTCTTACTTCTGGGGGAGCGTACTACTTCATTTCAACAATTTTAATTTCAGATCACACATTATTTCAATATTTTTTTTGACATTTCTGAAATGTCAAAAATCAAACCCAATTTGGATGGCCTACCACGTTTGGACCTTAACATTGTTAGAATTTTATTTTATTCAAATTTTTGACTAAAAATAATGTGTTTGTGAATAAAATAGCATACAAACCTCCGTGGTAATGGTATTACCCCTTGTGCTTTATCCGTATACAAAAGCACTCGAGGTAATGCCATATTTACCACCTCGTTTATAATGTACTATTTCATACTTGTATTACACAACATAAGAATATTTTTGTGGGATGTTCTTGTATAAAATTGTCAAACAGCATAGTTCAGACAAATAGAAAATAATAATTTTGTTAATTGCAGTTTGCAAAACAAAAACATAAAAAGGAAAAGCCAAACTTTTTGCCACCTTGGATTTTTTTTTAAAAAAAGCAAAATTTTTCCAAATATCAAATTAAAACAATTCATTCAATATTAAATTACGAGTAATCCCGATTTATTTACACTGTATTTAAATTTCTATTTAAAATTGTAAAAAACCTAAAAGTTAAAAATGAGCCCACCTTTTTGTCACCTTGAATTTTTGTTAAAAAAATTGAAATTTTGACAACTCAAAAAACATTTCCGATTAAATTAGTCATAATTTTCTTTTTTTATGTCACAAAACTGGTTTTCAAAAATGTTATTATAAAAAAAATTGACATAAGAGCAAACTGCAAATTGAGAATAAACCTACCTTTTTGCTACCTCCTAGGATTTTTTTTAATTTTAACAAAGAGCAAACAAAAATTTTTAATGTAGAATTAAATTATTATCAAATTGTTCACGTATTTACTATTTTTTATTAGTCTTTGAGTTTTTGTATTGCCGTCCATAATTTTTACTTTTACTTTTTATTACAATAGCACATTAGACAAGTAAAAGATAATAATTTTGTTAATTGTAATTTGCAAAATAAAAAATGTCACAAGTAGAATAAGCTTACCTTTTTGCCAGTTCCTTGAATATTTTAATGCAAAAAGTAAAATTCTTACAAAAAAACAAATTAAGAAATTTAATTCAAAATTAAATTAATCTCAATTTATTTATACTCTATTCAAATTTCTACTTAAAATTGCAAAAAAATTTTTTTTATTAAGATTGACATGAGACAATGATTATCAAAGCATTTGGAGTAAACAACACAAAGTTAATTAAACAAAAAGAAAAAAAAGTTTGAGATGAGGTAAAGTAAGTTAAATGAAAAACTTTATCTTCTTGTTTGGACGTAAACATATAAACCCTAATATGAGTTCAAAAAAAAAACAATAACATGTGAAATTGGTGAAATAACACTCCAAAAAAATATTCGCATTACAAAAATTTTAGTTTACAAGTGTTTTGGGGGCGCGGATTGAACTTACTCGCTGAAATCTCGCCAATTTTCCTCCAACCCCTTCGCCTACATTAAACAATAATTACATCACCGTCTATTACCCCGCACTTGAAAACCTAATTCCATCTCTCGCACAAAAATTACCCACTTGAGAAATTACCCCCCGACACGAAAAAACCAACCAACACTTCATCGCTGTAGTATCCCATCGACCAACCTTTAACACACCTGAAACTTTGCTCACCCTTTTTGAAAAAATCACGGGAGAGCAAGATTTCAAGCCCGTCAACGACTGGCAACTTCTATCATCATCATCATCGTCGTTTCCTTCTTCACGCACCTGAAAAAATAAACACAACCAACGAACGAACCAATTAAAAATCGAAAATAAACCATCGATCTGCGAAATATCATCAACTATAATTAAAACAACGTCGCGTCTCGTCTGCGGTTGGTAT